TTTATAGAAAACTATTTTCTGCCAGCGGCGTTACCCGCGTTGCCTTGGGATGAAAAGTCTATATGTTATTCCGGACTATAATCTACCCATGTTCCAAATTTAATCTCGATCCCGTCAGCCGTTTTGACGTAGAAGAGTATCAAACACACACACACACATACATCCTCACAAAATTTTGTATTTACAATACCTATTTAGGTAATATTTCACCGAGATTTCGTTGGTACTAAGATTTGATTTCCCCAGGTAGTATACAGTCTTATAAATGTAGAGCAATCTTTATTTACGTTTGCTGGAATCTTAGTATATTTACAAGTCCCCATAAAATATTATACAGGAGTAAAGCTTCTCCGAAATATTCTTTTCTAGATTCTAGAAGTTGTTAACATGAAAACACGATTGGGTGAAGTGCCACATCTTTGTGTGTGGGAAAATACTTATTGAAGTTACTTCTTACAACTTGGACGGTGTTTGGAGCAAGCTTGTAAAGAACTACTTAAGTTATTCATATACTTAATATTTGGGACATATTTACATAACATAACGTCACGCCTTTTATCCCCGAACGGGTAGGCAGAGGTGTACATTCTGCCACAATGTAACACTCACTTTTCACTATTTATGTTATGAGTCCCATGTAATAGGGGGTGAGCCAATTGCCATATACCGGGCACAATTCCAGACTCCGTGCTACTACTGTGAATTTTTTGAAAAACCCAGTAATACTTTGCCCGACCCGGGAATCGAACCCGAGACCCCTTGCCCTCGACACTCGTCGAGTAATGCTTCTCGGTATCTTTACGTGAGAAAACCGTTATTTTTAGTTATTTTACGATAGTTATTATAAAAGTATGTTTTCATTTGACATTGTAACAGATATATTGAGAATGGCCAAATCAAAAGCCTGGTAATATTTCCTGCTTCTTCCTTCTGATCAGCAATATGACTACGAAACCGAGGTATCTATTCAAAAGGGTAATGATTTCGTATTAAAAAGTTAGTTTATACTAACGGAGTGCATTGACCTATAGAACTCGCAAATACAGTAATTAATGACCACATCAATTCTACACTATTGATGACGCATTGATTAGATATTCGGTTTGCCTAAACTAACAATAATTATTATTGTATACCTAACTATGAATTTGACGTGATTTCACTTGCAAACATTATTCTTAAATTATGTGATGTACTTATAGCGATACCCTACATACACTAGTCGCGGAGAACCTAACGGGTAACCGGGGCTCCGACTCGACATGCAGGAGAAGGAACGGGGTGGTTTTTAGTCAGTAAGAGTCTGACACTCCCTCCCGCCTCACCCAGGCGGGAGCAGTCATTCGATGATTCCCACCTTAAAAAAAAAAACAAAACCCTGCATACACTAAAAAATTAAGTTAACAATATTGGGTCATATGACTTACCAAATCGTTATTGCGTTTAGTTTTATAAAACGAACTCTCGATTATTGACTTTAAACAGACACTGTGTCCTTATATTTTTTTATTCTTTATTGCGTAAAGTAAAATGTAATGTGGTGTCCTCACTGACATCAAGTAAGCCCCACCACGACTTTGTAGCCAGTAAGTGAAAACACAGCTTTACGCTAAAATATCTTTAGATTTAAAGGGGCGTGTCCTGCAGTGTACTTCTAGCTTAGACTAAGCTACGTGGTCATGCTCATTAGGAAAATACACAGCAAGCCACACCACAAAACATTGTGCAAGTACTTAGTATTTAAACCTAGTGCCAGGGATAATAAGTACTAGAAAATGTACTGGAAAACTAGAGCGTTGCCTAATGAAACGAATGGTGTTTGTTTTTTTTTTTAATTTGATGAATGTTTAACTGTAGCTATCTCTTTGGTTGATTGCCGCATGTTGTCTTGTGTCAGCAAAATGTTATTGAGCATTGCACCTAATTTGGTATTGCGTACAGTGTATGTATTTTATGAATTGTGCTTGCCATTGCATTTATCTTCTGGCTCTGGTTATCTCTCTACAGACCCATATCATCGACATCTGCCAGAAGACCACTACTGAACAAAGGCCTCCCCCTTAGTCCTACACATAAATATCCTATACATACGACAACTCGTCACTCGCAACCATTGGCTGTTATCGGTACACTGTCAGTAGACTACCAACTGTTAACTCAATTAATATCACATTTAAACAAAACACAATCGCAAAATAAGTAAAAAAATGGATATAAATATACAGCAATCCATCCATAAATACCAATCCCGTCTACGATACGATACAAAGCCGATACCAAGTACTATCATTACACCCTCAATTCAAATGAAACTAATTGCATCCACGTAACTACTAAGGTTTCGTCAACGGCTTCATTTTAATTAACCAATACTTTTTTACTGTATTCACAGTAGCCGTCTGCAAACCCAATTACATTTTATTTTAAACCCTAATTTAATATATTACGGTATAAAATACCTTGGGGGTAGAATTAGGGAAGGCCGGAGTCAATTTGCATGCGAGTAAACCAGTTTTGCACGTGTCCATTGAATGACGTTATTCAAATTATTCTGACGGGTATTAAATTATTTTATTTTGTTCGGCATGATATTCTGAATAAAAGACCAATAATTTTAATGTATATTTGATATGTATTAAAGGCATTTAACTCTTCGAGTACCGGTTTTGCAGACACAATTAAAGAACAATAGGTTGCGGTCACCGGTGACCGCTTGGTATTTGACAGTTTAAATCAAAAACATTCATAGAAATGTGTAATCTATTTTGCATATTGAAATGCGAATATTGTATGTAAACATTAAGCCGAGCTAGATTAAAACATAAATTAATACTCGTAGATATTTCCGAATAATTTAGTACGCAAATAGAATTCAATTGGTATTCATAATATTCATGTTTTACAACAAAAATCTCGTTAGTCGTTACGGTCACAAGACTTATAGGTAAGTGACTTTAGTAATTTGTTTAAATTAAATGTGTTTATTTTCTGTTAGATTTGTTCATATTGCCCTAGTTTCATCAAAGATGGCTGAGTAAAATATAATTTCAGCAAATTGTAAACCGACATAAAACCTACATTTTTATCGATTTTATAATCCATTTTTTTTATTTATAAATATTAATAATACTTGTCCTAAGCCCGTGTTACAATGGACACAGTCCCAACTCACGGGCAGTGAGGGCCCCTCTGCTTTTGTACAAGCACTCCTTTTGTTACCAGCTGTACTCTTTGCTGGACATTCCACTCGTTAGAGTATACACAAATTCTCTTATAGAGCTTTTTTATATAATCATATTAGTTACAGTGTTTTTACTTTTTAGTTGCGTTAGTTTTTATAATTTTTGTGTGGCTTTTACCCAATGTATTTTTTCTAAAAGTCCATTTGTATTGTACAAATACATTGCACTTGATTTATCAACTGTTTTCGATCAAAATATCTTTTTTAATGATAAACATAAAGATATTTTTTATTTGCGTTAACATGAGTAATATTACAAGAGTACATGCAATGGTGTTTTGTCCCTCCCGCCTGGGTGAGGCGAGAGGGAGGAGTCATTCGATGATTTTCCCCCATTAAAAAAACACCATTGTATGTACTCTTGTAATATTTCTCATGTTAACGCAAATAAAAAATATCTTTAAAAACCACCCCGTTCCTTCTCCTGCACTTCGAGCCGGAGCCGATAAACCGTTTGGTTCTTCGCGACTCCGAATCGGCATCAGCCCTATTGGGCCCTATTCGTGGTATGCAATGGTGTTAAGTTAGGAATATGAGCTACATGTTATGCCGTTCCATACCGTTTATTTTTTATTTTGAAATAGTAAGCTATTTGAACTGAAGTTTTGTTTTTTGTGAGGGGGAAATCATCCAGTGGCTCTTGCCTTAGATAAGAAGAGATGGAGTATTAGACTCATACTGATTAAAAACATAGTGCATCTTCCTTTTAATTCGAACCGGAGCCGGACGGGAGCCCCGGTAAGCCGCTAGCTGGTCCGCAGCTCCGGTGTACCTAAACCTTACGAATCATAACACTATAATTATAAACTTACGTACAACCATATATTATACCCAACCATGAATAATTCCTGACTCTCAACATCCAATTCTGCAACATAGTTCTCCATCTCCCAAATTACACGCCATTTGACTCAATCCCGACCGTCATTTGCCAATTATAGCAACGTTCGTATTGCGTACAAATCGTCAGTATTAGTTAGGTAACCAACACATTAGGGCACTGATGCATGCTAACCAATACGACGGCTGGAAAGCGCCTGTGTTAGTCAAGCTGACGTGTGGAGTGTCACTGCACTAACTTAAGTAGATGTAGACCCTAAACTGCGTAAAGGATTTATCAAATGTTCAACTCTATGACAAAAAGATAAGGTTGGAATTCTCTTAAAGGTTCTGTACATTTTGGGGTAGTTGCATGTGCTGTCGTCTGTTTTCTGGTAGTGCAAACTGAAACGATAATCTATTTGGAATATCTCACAATGCTATTAGTTTCAGTAAGGAATTAAGGATTTACTTGTGCGTACCGTAATTGTTGTCGAAGTAAATCTGTTATTGAGATCTTCTCTTTTCAATGTGAAACTATATGAAAGTAATGTTATATCTTATACATCGGAACATAAAAGTCTTTAATAGCTAAACATTTAACAATCGTATTAATTAAAATTTTATTGGTATTTGAAATGCGAGTGTAAGTTTGTTTTGTTACGCTTTCACGCCGAAGCAACTGAATCAATTTTAATATTTTTCACATAGTCGAATATTTTACATGCTTGACACTTTATAGTACCTTTTATATTTGATGGGCCGACGTTTGATCACTATCTCGCGTGGTAAGCGATGATGCGGTCTACGTTGGAGCACGTCGTCCCATAAGCAACCTATTCACTCGAGCCTTGAAGACACCCAGGTTATACAGACTCTGGCCTATAATTTTTATTTTTTATATAAGGAAGAGTATGACAATCTACTTTTTCTGTCCTAGGTAAAGGTGTTTCGTGAAGAGTTTCTACACTGCAGATCAAAAAGGTACTGTATCCAGAAAACTGGTGCATTTGCACTTTAACCTAACTAAACCATGATTCCCATTTGAGGTCACCCTGACTTCCACTTAATGCATAAAATAAAAGGTGCGAGCTTACAGCGGTTGCTGGCCGGAGCTGAGCGTTGCGTAATAGGAGCGTTCCTATCTCCGGCACAAATTACAGGTTGTTGGGTTGTTTAAGTGTAAGTTGGAAGCCTAAATAACGTGATTGCTCTGTGACTTGATTAAAGTTGGGATGAATAGGGTTGTGGAAACTAGATTGTCAATTGTGGTAGTAATTGGCTAGCGATGAAACTTTAGTGGGGCTGTCTAGTTCGTGTAATGATTACGACTCTGATTTAATTATAGTGGTGTGACTCTTCTATTTTATTTGATGACAATTACATAGATGATATGGATACTTCTTGATAGAAATGTTTAACACTATCACTTGTACATTTTTCAAGAAAGACATTTTTAGATAGTAAGTAATAAATTATATCTGAAACTGTCTTTTTTTAACTGAAAATCGCATTAAAATCACTATCATTCGATGCGTCGCATTGTGTTGTGCAATGCCACTCATGAATATGAGCCCCTTTTTTTTATTATTTAAGGGGCGAAAATCATCGAATGACTGCTCCCGCCTGGGTGAGGCGGGAGGGAGTGTCAGACTATTACTGACTAAAAACCACCCCGTTCCTTCTCCTGCACGTCGAGCCGGAGCCCCGGTTACCCGTTAGGTTCTCGGCGACTCCGAATCGGCATCGGCCCTATTGGGCCCCATCTGTGGTGGTCTGATGGCTCTTTGAGGCGCGCGCGGAACGCGACGCGCCGT